TAGTTCACTATCTCTATACTTTAATGGTTTGCATATTATACAAAATTTATTGTTTGCAATAGATGATGCAATTTTGATTTGCGCTTCCTATTTTAAGTCATTTGAAATTAATACACCTAGATCCTTTTCCAATTTAGTTGTAATTAATTCTTGCTTTATATTATTGTTAGTCATGAAATATTTGTTATTTTAATTTGTTAGTAATATGCATGATTTTACATTTTTTTAAATTAAATTGCATTTCCCAGTTTATTATCCATTTTTCTAACATAGCCATGTCATTTTGTTAAGCATGAGCAACCATTTCATTATTAACTTCAGCTATTATTTTACAATCAACAACAAATGCATACAACAACAATTGTTTTGTGAGTTAACTTGGAAGATCATCGATGTATATTAAAAATAAAATTGGACCAAGCACAGAACCTTTCGGTACACCACTTACTATGTTCACCCATGATAATGGGGTGGACATAGTAAGCGGTGAATACTTTCTCCAAGTACAACTCTTTGCTCCCTATCAGTTAAAAAAAAAATTATCCATTTCAATGATGTAGATCTAATGCCATATGCTTCATGTTTTAGTGCTAATCGCCTATGTAAAACTTTGTCAAAAACTTTTCTGAAATCAGTATATAGGATATCAAAATGATTTACCATTGCAACACCTGTCATTACTATACCCATGCACTCTAGGAGATTAATTGTGCAACTTTTGCCTTTTTTTAAACCATACTGATTCGAAAATAATTGGTTAGTCTTTAAATAATGTAAGAGTTGATTGATATTAAACTTCAATTTGTGCTAAAACATGCTGATAGACCATGCAGGTCTATAATCTATAGACTAAATGAGTAAGACCAAAGCAAATACCACATTTTTTATAATTTACTGTTACTAGATCATGCATACTATTAAAAATTTAAGTATAATTAATTTTTTCTTTTAAATGGATGCTTTCATTTAATTTTTTCATTTAACTTGTTTTACAATAAAAAGTAAAAGAAAAAAATTTGATCTAATAAATTGAATTATATTTCCTTAAATTAAAGTACTTGTTTAAATTAAAAAAAAATTATTTTACTTCTGTTTAAAGCATTTTTTTACCTAAAAAATAATTTAAATTCTTTATAATTTTAGTTTAACGTTTGCAACAATCACTGGTTTAATGTTTGCAATCGAAAGTTTCTACTTTTAAAACTACTTTCAAGAATCAAAAAATAATTAACTATTTAAAATGAATGATTGAAACAAAACTTTCTTCCTCACTTGCACTCTAAATCTGATATTCTATTCAGGAATAATCCTCACTATGTCACTGAGTATTACGGATGTTGCTGCAATTAGATTTATAATTATTGAGCATTAGAACTCCCTTAAATTTTTTCAATTTTTTTTAATTTCAAATTTCAATCACAAAACTGTTTGAATAAGAGAATTTTAGAAGGAAATAAAATAGATATGATTGTTACAGATTGTTATAGAATAGATTGTTTAAATAAATTTCTTTTAACTTTTTAAGTTAAATTGTTAATACAATCTTTTGTATTAACAATTGCAGCAAATCTTGCCAAAACAGATCACAACAACATTTTTATTGGACCCAATAGAACTAGAACAGAACAAGCAGAATATAAAGAGCTGAATAATGAAAAGAAAACTGTAAACAATGATCTTGAAAAACATGGAAATCTCAACATGCTGTTTCATATAGTTATCCACAGTGAAAGGGTCTGCTGCATCAATGTGTCTAGGACCCTTGAAATCAACGGCTGACCAAAACATCCGTTTGTGGACTGGAAATCAGCCCAAATTTCTGAACCAATTAATCAGTAGTAGTATAAACAGCATATAATTGTCAACCGAATTAGGCCAACAAGATGTTTTACCCAAACATATTAATAATAAACTACTGTCAAAACTAACCAAATGTCTTTCAACCAACCATGTCACATGTTATTATAGTTATGCCACATCACTTAATAACAAGATGACACAATTAAATGCTTAGGCAAACTCACTTAATTCAAACATAATTGCTATTACTGAAACTGTCTTTCAACCAACCATGTCACATGTTATTATAGTTATGCCACATCACTTAATAACAAGATGACACAATTAAATGCTTAGGCAAACTCACTTAATTCAAACATAATTGCTATTACTGAAACAAGGTTTGACAAATATAAATGTACTTATCTAATAAATTACAAACTATTCAATAAAAATAGAACCAGTAATGGCGGGGGAGTGGCTATATATGTGTCAGAAGAAATCAATTCTTTTGAGATTATCAACAGAATTATGTAGTACAAAGTTAGAGCAAGTTTGGTGCGGAATCAGATTTAATAAAGTAACAATTTTGTTTCATTGCACTTATAGGTCTCCATCCAAACCAAGTGATATGCAATATGACATACAATTACATGAAATTGCTTTAAAGTGTTCTATTGTTACATCCTCAAACTTAGTTAAAAAGAGGGTGAAAAAAATTGTTACGCTACAAATAACTTTTAATTATTGATCTTTTTCAAAGTTTTTATTTTATGTGAAGGCTTTAAAATGAAATAAAATCCAAAATTAATTATAATAATCGTTTAAAAATAAAGACATTATGTGTAAAAAAAATATTATATTAAAATTTTTTTTTTATTAGGTATGTATTTTTTATGATAAATTTAAACGTTTGAAACTATAAATAAGTTTAAATAAGTTGTGTTAAATCTTCCCATGATGTTATTGCTCTTTTTTTTGGTTTCAAAAAAAAAACTTTTAAACAATTTTTACAACAAAATTGTTAAAAAATTGTTAAAAAGTTTTTTTTTAAATTTGACTTACTAATCAAATTAGAAAATGATTAAAAATTACAATAATTAAAAAGACAACGCTATTTTTTTAAACTATTATTATTATTTTTTTTTTTTTTGCAACTTTTTGAAAAAAAATGTTTATAAAAATTAAAAAACAAAATTTTTTTCTTTTGAATAATAAATAAATTTGTTCATTTATTAAACAATCAATGGAAATAATTTGTAAAAGCGTTTTGCATAACTTTCAGTAAAAGATCAGTTTTAAAGTAATTTTTTTCAAATGCAATTAAAAATGTAACAAAAAGTAATTTCTACTTTTTAGTTTTATTTTAAAGCTTATTTATTTTTTGTAAGAAATTGTTTTGTTTATTCTTTATTTTTTAAATTTTAAAAGTTTAAAAACAATAAGTTCTAAGTCATTAAATCACATGAATTTTTTTCTTACAGCAGATCATAAGTCAACAAACATATTTAGAGCTTTTTGGCACTACAGACCTAGAAAAAATGGAGATATAAAGCTATATATATATACATATATATATATATATATATATATATATATATATATATATATATATATATATATATATATATATATATATATATATATATATATATATATATATATATATATATCAGAAATCTCCTTTTTATAGTGAAAAAGAAAACAAAAAATACAAAGACTGTTGATTCAAGGAGAGTTTACTGTTTCACCTACTATATCTATAATGAAAAAACTGCAATCTGGGTAAAGTCTTGTAAAGTCTTTACCTAGATTGCAGTCTTTTGTCTGGAAGATCTGGTAATGACATGGAACCTGTCATTGCAAAGGTTTTAGAGCCATAGAGTTGCATCCTGAGTTAAAAAAAACTGATTTTGTGGCCAGATTTGTGTGTTCCACAGGACAAAAAGAAAAACAAGTTGATGAGGTACATAGCAGCATTGATTACAGTTTAAAGAAAATGGAGCAATTTAATCCATTGGGTCTAATATGGTGAAAATCTTATACCATTCTTCAGATGAAAGGACTTTTCAAAACTACCTTTAGCTAAAATAAAGCAAATTTATTACATTCCACATCAACATGTCCATCTTTTTAAAAAAGAAACTTTCTGATCTGTTCACTGCCATCTGCTTACATTCAGTTTTTTAGAAAAGATAAGCCTTCTATTATAGTTATACTCAAGTTATCATTTCAGTCAAAAAAAAAGTTAAAATAATTTTGCCCAAAAAGAAAAAAAGTTTGCATAAACTTTTTTTCTTTTTGGGTAAAAAGAAAAAAAGTTTATGCAATAATGCTAAAGATTGATAGAATGTTTATGACTACTTTTTGTGGCTGCAACTAAGATGAACTTACAACATACAAACTTACTACATATGAACTTAAAAACAAACCTGTTAACAGTATGAGAATTAAAAAAGACTATTAGCTGGTAAAATATTTTGTACAACTGTTTTTAATTCATTATGATTATAAATACAATCATTAGGTATATCTTTAATATTAAATTAATTTGTTTTTATTTTTCTATAAAAAAACTGTGTATTAAAACACATTTTTTTTTTTTTTATAGAAAAATAGAAACAGTTATAATATTTGTTAAAGCAATTTATGACTATTGCATTTATTTTAATATTACATAAAATCAAAATTATGTATACAGATAATCCAAAATTAAAAAATTTAATGATCATGCACAAATCTGGAAAAATTGTTACTGATTCTAGTTAGTACTCAGTTTCTCCACAGTTAGTACTCCGTTTCTTCACCCTTAGGTGCTTCTGATCACTGTTTGATATCTCTAAAACTATTATTTCATTCTTCTTCATTATCAGAATCCCCCTATTATTGCCCTTCTGGTTGAAATCTTTACTCTTCGTGCTGATCAATGTGCTTTTTATGTAACTTCTTGGATTCAGGCTGGGATGGAATCATTTATTCCCTTGACAATTCAAAGTCAAGCCTCATTCTTCTCCACTCATTGTGCTATGATAGCTACAATGTAGCTATCATTGTACTGTTACTATAGTATTATCAATTAATTCTTATTGTATTTATTATTTTTACTTTATAATTTTATTTAATTCAGGCACTCTATACAATTATTTAAAAGAATTGTTTGATTTTCAAAGACAATAAAATAAATATTAAATTACATTATTATAAAAATTACAAATAATTACTTGGTTGTATAACCATCTCGTAGATTATCACTGCACATGTACTGTAAAATAATGTCACAATTGGCATTTGGTCCACCACAAGAATGTTGATTAGTCCACTCAACTTGGAGTTGTGATCCTTCAAGATAGTACAAGTTTCCAACATTATACCCACCACGATTATTATTTTGAGAATTGAACATCCTAAATATTAAATTTATTTTTTAATTTGAATAAAAACAAATATTCATAAACATACTTTTTATAAATGAATATATATATATATATAAATATATATTATATATATATATATATATATATATATATATATATATATATATATATATATATAATATATATATATATATATATATATATAGTGCTCAAAATGAGGCGGGATGAGGCAAAATGCCATCCCGTCACCTTTTTATAAAGTATAAGCCATTCACCTTTTTATAAAGTATAAGCCATTTTTATAAATCTCTATATATAACAATGATTAGGCGAGATGGTATTATTAATTTACTGAATACTATCCCGTTACCATTATATATATATATATATATATATATATATATATATATATATATATATATATATATATATATATATATATATATATATATATATATATATATATATGTATATGTATATATATATATATATATAGATATATGTATATATATATATGTATATATATATATATATATATATATATATATATATATATATATATATATATATATATATATATATATATATATATATATATATATATATATATATATATATATATATATATATATATATATATATATATATATATATATATATATATTATATATAGAACATTAAACATAATTTATGTATGTATATATGTATATATATATATATATATATATATATATATATATATATATATATATATATATATATGTATATATATATATATATATATATATATATATATATATATATATATATATATATATATATATATAAATGTCACTTGTACCCCTTGGCTTCTGACCCATTCATATATATATATATATATATATATATATATATATATATATATATATATATATATATATATATATTAGTAAAATACTTATCTAGTTTTTTTTTTCAACAACTTGTTTCATCAGGAAGGCTCCTGATGAATCTATTGATGGAGAAACAAGTTGTTAAAGAAAAAAATTAGATGTGTTTTTACTATTTTATTATTGCTCTGAATTTTAAGAATATTGAGAACATTAAACATAATTTATGTATGTATATATGTATATATATATATATATATATATATATATATATATATATATATATATATATATATATATATATGTATATATATATATATATATATATATATATATATATATATATATATATATGTATATATATATATATATATATATATATATATATACATATATATATATATATATATATATATATATATATATATATATATATATATATATTATATATATATATATATATATATATATATACATACATACATATAAATATATATATATATATATATATATATATATATATATATATATATATATATATATATATATATATATAAATATATATAACTTACCGATTTGCATTATTACGTTCTCTCCCTTGCTCATCAAGCCTGTTATTGCTACCACTAATAAAAAAATTAATTAAAATTCTACAAAACAAAATCCATTTTGAATGACAATAAAAATTCAGCAATAAACAGATAAATGATCTAAAGTTAGTGTCAGCAAGTATAAACACGAATTTAGAGTTGTTCAAATTTAAATCAATGAGTAGGGTGACCATTGTCCCGGTATTTTTGTTGAAGAGCGCGATGCTAAACTAATTAAAATTACTTTAGTGCTGTGCTCCTCTAAGTAAGAACCAGGGCAATGGTCACCCTACCAATAAGGAAACTTGAAGTTAGCAAGAATTTTCCCTTAATTTAAAACTTATTAAAAACAGAGAAACATTAAAACCTACCTACTGCAGACCTACCCTGTTGTATAACCTATCTATCATAAAGAACAGATTTATTTGTAAAAAAGCTTACCAGTTATTAGTTTAAATTAGAAAAGATCTACAAAATACTATACTATAATACAGAATACTATAATATAGAAAGCAACATAAGCCAACTTATTGCAAGAAATAATTAAAAGTCTTGAAATATTTTTTAAGATATTTGAAGATATTTAATGATACTTCAATCTTTTTAATGAGACAGTTATCTGTGTATCAAAAAGTTCTTGAACTATTGACACATATACAGTTGTCTTTTTTTAAAGAATATGCGCTATTTAATAAAAATCAATTTGGCTTCAAAAAAAATCATTCTGAAAGTTTCAGTAGAATGATTTTTCAGTCTGAAACAGCAGTTTAACTACTCATTTCAAAATGGAGGACAGGTTTTACGTGGATCATTACAGTTATGCTGGACTTAAAAAGATCATTCAAAACAATTATGAGAGAAATATTTAAAAATTAAAGTTCTACAATATGAAAGGCATAGTGCTCAATTTGTAGCACTAGAGATTAGTGATCATCTGATCAACCCTGTAAGGCAGGTGTGCCCCAGGAATCAGTACTAGGACACCTATTATTTATAATTTATATTAATGATATTACCAGAGAAAATGGTTTGAATGTAAATGCAAATATATCAATAAGTATGCTGTTTACAACACAGTAAGTATACTGCTTTTATAACAGTTAAGAAGACTGGTTATCATATGAAAATCGTCAAATATTGCACTAGGTGGAAAAAATAAATATTTTGAATATTATTCTTTATTATTTTTAGATGCAAATGAAATTTATATTGAAAGACTAGAGAAGTTATAAAACAAAGCTTGAATGAAATTGTACAATTAAATGCCAAATGAATTTAAATTGCTTGACGAGAAAAGATTCAAGAACCAAGTCAAACATGAAACACACTTAAAAGAAAAAAAAAGTTAATGAAAAAAGTGATATGAAGTGATATGAACTATTTTTATAATGATTTTGATTAGCGGTAAACAGGCAATGATAAAAGTAATAACAATAAAAATAATATTAAATTTTTATTAATAATAATAACAATAGTAATAAAAGTTATAATGAAAAAAAATTTTTTTAAAGTTTTTTCAAAACAATTTAAATGAATGTTTTAACATAATCATACATGTCAAGTAAGTTTCTTGACATGTATGATTATGTTAAAACATGTATTTAAATTATTTTAAAAAACTTGAAAAAAAATTTTTTTTTATAAAATACTTCATAAAATATCAAGTTACTTGACATGTGTGATTATGTTAAAACATGTATTTAAACTATTTTGGAAAAACTAAAGAAAAATAAGAAAATTTCATTATTACTTTTATTACTTGAAGTAGTTATTTGAAGTAACTGATATCAAGATGAATAAAGAAAAGTAAGTAGGAATCCAGGGTGAATTTTAATTATTCTGGGGAGAGGGTTGTGGGAGTGACCTCTTGAAAGTTTTTGTCTTGAACAATAATAACGATGATGTAAAAGATTATTGCTTATAAAATTAAACTATTTTATATTTTTTGATACAGAAAATTTTATAGCAAAATTTTTCTCTTAATTAAAAAAAAAGAAATACTAATAATTTCTTCTCATATAATGTTTGATGCAACCATTATTGTATTTTTGGCAAATATTCAAAACTTTGAAAAATGTTAAACCATAACCAGGACTTTTTTTCACCTCTACTAGCAACTCGAGTTACCGTCCAAGCAAACTCAGCAAACTTAGCATTTCAGATCTCAGTACATCTACAACCAGATCCAACTTCTTCCTCAGAAGCTTTTGGATTTTCTCCTTCATTTTAACATGCTCCTTTGTTTATCTAAACATATCAAAACAAATGGGATGCTAGCGAAAATTAGTCACTTTTTTAGTTATAAGATACTTATAAACATACAATGTGCTATTTTTAACTCATGTACGCTTTACGGTGGTCAGGAAGCAAAGTTCTTCAAAGTGTAAAACTAAACTGCTTTACATTTACTGTTACAAGCCTGTTGTGCACAAAAAAAATAAATGTTACAAATTTACTTGGAATAAATAATACCTTTTACTATTTGAATTAAAAAATGTTTTTCAAATCAATATTTTTTAACTGCATTATTTATTATTAAAGATGTTAATAAACCGTTGCTAAGCATACTGATACCTTTGCTAGGGTATTTATTTTGTTAAAAACTTGGCGAAACATCACTACTTCTAACACTTCTGCAAGCTTTTTATTACTTATGCAAATTGATATTTTATTTCAGGTATTAAAAGATGCATGCATAAGGAAACCAAACAAGTTATGTTTTTTATGGCAGATCTAAAGCCATTGTTGTTTTGGATAATCAAAAAAAAGGGAACTAAATTACGAATTGATTTATTGGCAAGCCAACACAAAGTTAGTTACGGACAATGATTTCAAGAAAGAAAAAAAGTGTAACCATGTTGCATTTTTACTTTTAATGTATAATACAAATAAATATAAAAGAAATGGTAGTAATAGTAGTAGATTAGTAGAAATAGTAGAAATTGAGTTAAAGTGGCAGAAAAATAACAAAGTATTTTGTGTGCAGGGCCGACGACACGTTTCGAAATGGCATAATCACCAATTTTTAAAAAAGTCCTCTTTATCTAGAAATTTCAAAAAAAAAAAAAAAAAGAAAAGGGTCCTTTAAAAAAAAAGTGGGAGGGGAGAGGGAAGAGGATAAAAGATAAAAGATGAGGAGGGATAAAACCTTCCAATTATACAAAGGATATATAATGGAGAGGGATAAAACCTTGCCCACCCCTTCCTTATTACCCCTCCTATCTCTAAGTTCGATTCTGGTCTGTCATATTTATGTTTTTTTAAATTGCTTCACAAATTAGCATTTGCGTGACGTCAAGTTCTTTGTTTGTCCAAATATCAATCCTACAACCACAAGCGTTTTAAGAAATTCTTTTGTTTATGCGCAATGTTTGTCTACATTTCGATCCCAGAAAGCTTTGAGAAAATCTATTTTTAGAACCACAACGGTACCTTATTGAACCTAATGCGCAAATATTTTCACAGCATGATTTTATGGAAAAGTTTGCATTTGGAACAAGAAATTTCGGCAAGCAGGACGAATTCTCATTAGCCCTTAATTTTTTTTTTTTTTTTTTTTTTGTTATTTAGGTGCCCCAAAAAGACCTAACGATCTTGCCACAGAGCACCGCGGAAGTGCATTTACACTAATCAACATATATTGCGGTTTATTTCAAAATATTGCAATATTATTGCGCGTTCAATTAAAATGCTATATATTGCTCAACTAATTGTCCAATAAAATATCAATAAAATTATACAAATATAATCTGTTTGTAAATGCAATTAAGATGCATTTAAATATAAATAATTCTGATGCTTTTCAAATTGCTCGTATCATTTTTTTGTTTTACATAGATTTAATGCGTTTATAAGCAATAGTAAGATCGTTGATAAAATATTACAATATTATTGCAATAATATTGCAATCTTATTACAATAGTATCGCAATGTTATTGCAACTAATATTAGGTAATCGGTTTTATCATAAAATCCATTACCTAATATTAATTACATAACTTAAGTTATTAAATACAAAACATTATTTAGCTAACAACATTTAGTTAGAAAGATATTGTAGTGTGTTATGTTTGTTTATATAATACTAGTTGTAAATATGTATGTTATTATAATAAATCTTAAATACAAATAAAATAAGAGTTAGTATATATTAAAAATAGTGAACACAACAACTAGCATGCTTTCATTGGTGTGTAACGACTTTAAACTGTAGTGTAAGTGTGACCAGACAGGTTTGCTCGGCCCATGTTAGCCATGGCTTGCATCCGCCCAGCATACCTGTCTGGCCACACAAGATACCCGTGACAAATATAACAGTTACTTATAAGTAGAAGACTTTATTAATTAGACTAATTAATTTTTTTTTTTTTTTTTTTTGAAAACGTTCGTTTAGTATACATAAACCCACAAGCAAAGACGTATATAAAATAAGGACCATTATTTTGGATTAGTAGAGTTTATATGTATGATTAAAATTAATTAAGCTAAAATACTCAAATTTTACTTGTTGTTTTGATGTTTTTGATTTTTACTTTATATTATAATTTAGTATTGTTTCTACTTTTTCTATATATTTGTGTCATGACTGTCCCAAAAATGTTTTGTCTTGCAATACATATACTATTTTGATCTTAAACTTAAGGTCAAGTGTTTCTAAAATAAACAAAATTATTTTAAAGTTTGAAAAGACGTCACTCTGTCATAATGTCACCCGTTTAATTTTTATTGTCAATATTACGAGATTATTTCCAAATATAATTGCAATTTTATTGTCAATATTGCGATATTATTGCCCAATATATAGTCAATTCATTGCAAGATATTAGCTAATATAATTACAATTTTATTATCAATATTGCAATATTATTGCCCAATATGTTGCCAATCCATTGCAAGACATTGGCAATATTTGCCAATATAATTGCAATATTATTTCAATACTTTCAAAAAAATGTTGATTAGTGTAGGCAGTTCTATTGGAGTAGCAGTAGGAAATGCTCGTATACTAGATCTATCAGGCTTGTTTTATAATCCAGCAAACACATCAACTTTAATTTAAGATAAATTGACAGCAAAAAAAGGATGTTTAAAGTTTCATCAGACTGGAAATGTATTGAGAATAATAGAAAATTTTTTGGTCTTGGAGATGATGGTAAAATTAATAATGAAACTTTAGTTGTTAGAGAAATAAAAGCACACGGTCGCGTAGTTTTATTCTAAAAATTTACTCAAAAAGAACATCATACGACAGAAAAAAGAACATCATATCACAGAAAATCATATGAAACTTCATCTATTTTTTTGTGGCTTACACTCAAAGTTTTACATCTAGTTGTAACATCACAACTAAAATAAGCCTAGAGCATGTATTAGATTCTTAAAGAGTTATTTAGACACTTTAAGAACAATTCTAGTAGACAATACTTCTACAAACACAGATTATAAAGCAGAAATGGTTGCTTCCAAACCAACAGGAATCGTTACTTTCAAATTAGAAGGAATGGTTGTCTTAAACATTTACGAAATATGTTTTTAGTCAACGGCTAAACTCTCTAATCTCGTCAAATAGTTGTATTTCAACAATTTAAGTTACTTTAAAAAATAATTTGAAGCATATTTTAAATTTTTTTTTCATTAAAATGTAAAATTATTATAATAACATTTGCATAAATGCAAATATATAAAATGTAAATTATTTTTTTTTATTAAAATTATTATAATTTTTTTTACATTAGCTCCATTAAAATTTTAGTATTTTTGTTGTATCCTTTTATTTGTTCAAAACAAATATCAAAAATTTGTATCAAGTTTTATAGTTCTACTTGTAAAACTTGATACAATAGTTTTTTTTTTTTTTAAAAACTGGTTAAAAATTGCTTTTAACCAATCAATGGTGGTTAAGTAAATTGCTTTTAACCAATCATTGATGGTTAAGTAAATTGCTTTTAACCAATCATTGATGGTTAAGTAAATTGCTTTTAACCAATCATTGATGGTTAAGTAAATTGCTTTTAACCAATCATTGATGGTTAAGTAAATAAGTGTTTTACCTCCAGAAAAGTTTGCAAAAACATTTTCATTTCAATTTTAATTTTATTTTTAATTAAACTTACAGTTCACTTAACAATGAGTTTACTCAAATGAATAAAATTTAATTTACTTAAAAAAAAATTAAATATCTAGGCAACTTCGCAAATTTGCGGCTTTTATTTTTTTCAAAAACTTGCGTTTAAGTGTAACAAACATATTTAAGTCGAAGGTTAAAAAGGGATACGATTAATTTTAAAGATCTAAAAGACGTCTTTAATGCATTTTTTCAAGTTGCTTTTAATTATGCCAATGTAAATATAAACATAAATGCCGTTAAAATACACATGGCATTAGATGTTTTTAGTAAAATGATAAAAGTGAGCCTGTTTAGTTATTTTCATTATTTTAAGAAAGTTCATTTTGAAATTTGTTAATTATTGCGATACTATTAAACTTTTTTTCTGATTTCAAAAGACGAGCCTTAAATGACAAAAGTAATAAACTATAATAAAGACATAATACTTTAAATACTAAGTGTTTATAATTTTTGATTTTGTAAAATATATATATTAATTTAAAAGTATATTAATTTATCTAATTGTTGGGGGCTCATTGTAAACACATCATCTGACTGTATTAGTATATACAAATAAATATTTTACTTTACTGCGCGCATTATGTTAAGAATGAAAGACGCTATAACGAATTATCTTTAAACCGATTTTATCGGTCTTGCAATCCTTTTATGGACACAAAGCTAATGTTTCTTTCTATAAACCATAAAAGAAAAGATACAAAGAAAGAAAAGCTTACCTCGGATTGTGTAAATAAATATCTGATTGTACCAGTGTGCATAGTACAAGCAACAACAACTTGAAAATCATTGTGTTGGTTTTGTAATAAATTACCTGCAAGTTCTTTTTTATTTTGACAACTGCTTTACAATGCTAATAATGACTGAACCACCAAAGACACTTTTCAAACTTATATACAAATCTAGAGGATTATAAATATTTATATGGATTCTAAATTTAATTCAAAACGTGGAGATATTAACAAATGTCATTGTCTAGCTAAATATTTTAACAAAATATTTGTGTTGTTGCAAATAATATACAGCAGGATATTTTATGTTTCGTTATTATAAATCAGGATATTTCATTACTTTTCTAAACGTTTGGGTTTTTTGTTCGATAAATATATGATTTTTTTTATTTAATGCCTTAAATAAGTTACATAACAATTAACTAGTATTGTTTTGAAATATCTCAAAGAAAAACATGATATAAAGTTCTAATAAATAAACCTTGTAAGATTCGCGCTAGAAAATCCAAACGAGCTGATTTTAAAAAAAGACAATTAAATTAAAATACAAAAAATTCAAATAAAAAATTTTGAAAATAAAAAAAATGTTTTAAAGATAGTCATGACATTTTACAGTAAAATTTTTTTTTAATATTTCATGAAATATTAAAAAAAAAAAATTCACCGTTTATTATTACTTGATTTAGTTTATTAAGCATTATACCCCAAATGGATTTCAAAAAACTTTAATATTAAAGTTAAGAATTAAAAAAAAAAATCTTTTATATGTCATTTGTATCAAATGATGTTTGCTTTTTTTTAACTATGTTTCTTAATTTGCATTTGATGTTGTTTGCTTCTTCATTTTCGTAATTATCTTTTTATGTTGTTTACTTGATTTCTTGTTTTTATGTTGTATGTCTAATTCCTTTATATAATATATAAAAACTTTTTTTTTTTATAAAAAACTTATATGAAAAGTTATTAGACAAGTATGAAAACTTGTAAAAATTTGTATAAAATTTGACATTGTCCATTTTTGGTGAACAAAGTTTTGACAATAACTTGCAAAATTATGCAAACAAAATTAAGCATTTTGACAACAACGTGTAAAGTTTTGAAAGCATTTACTTTTCAAAGTTTTGAAAGCATTTACTTTTTTACATTTACAAAGTTTTGAAATACATTTACTTTTCTTTTATTTATTGCTACCTAAATTATGCAAACATCGTTTGATGCAAGAAAAATATAACTAAAATTGATAAATTATTACGGTTAGATTAAAAACATTATAAATATGCAATAAGATAAATTAATTAAATGCATTATCTACATGTAATTAATATCTATTTCTAAAGAGGCTATTTTAAATTTACGCACAAGCTACATAAGGCAATTCTAAACTTAAACACATACGCATTAGAAATGACATCTACTTAATACTGTCATTAACATTGACATTATTCAATTTAATACAGTCAGTTAAATGGACACCAGCAAGATTTTAGATGGTTGAGAAACAACGCTTTTAGACATTAAGCAACGTTAAGTTTGATTTCTTTTAGACATTAAGCAAACTTAAGTTTGATTTCTTTTAGACATTAAGCAAACTTAAGTTTGATTTCTTTTAGACATAAAGCAACCTTAAGTTTGATTTCGTTTAGACATTAAGCAACCTTAAGTTTGATTTCTTTTGCGTCAAAAAAGATGGTTTGTAAAATAAAGCAACCGGTTATTAGAACCTGAGAACAAATATACTTAATAAAAGATTTAAATAGATTTAAGGAAAAATCTCCACCCAACCTTTTATTAAGACCTCCGCTTTAGATTCGGAGTAAAATTCCCTCTCCGCCTTTTGTATTAAGCACGCAAGAGTAAACGATCGTTTGACGTTATTTAAAACTTTTTGATTGCTTATCAAACTATTTTATTATATTTCTCTAACTGCTTATATTTTCAATCTAGACACTTTAAACTTAAGTTCTTTAATAAACACTTACTCTTATTCTGTTTGTGCTTGTTATGACACTCTAGTTTGCTTTGTTCCTGCAAATTTTAATATGTCGTTATGGCAACAATCTGAAAGAGAATAAAATACAAAATGAATGCTTTATTTATTACATAGTTATGTTTCATATTGTTAAGATGAAATTTCATATTTCAAAAAAAATTAAATTTTGATGTAATTTTTATAACTGATTTCATTTCTATCCTATTCTAAGCATCCTTTGCTATTATAATTTTATCTAATCTTATATTTTTTCATATAATCTTATATTTTATGCAATATTGAGGCAGAACAAAATATAGGGGATTGCGATACAGAACTATAATTTTTATTGAATTTAACTAATATTGTTTTGTTTTAATTCCTTGAAAATAAATAATTGTAATCTAAAACTAATTTTTTCTTCGCTTTTTTTTTGGGAATGGTTGCTAATTTTTTTCCAAAATTGTAATATAATTTAACTCTAGTATTGCGTTTCAGTTCTCTTTAAAATTATAGCTATATTTTAACATTAATGTTAACATAGAAAGCTGAATAATACCTTTTCATATAAAACTATATTTTTTTTAAACTATATCTTTTTTTAAAACTATAACTATAAACTATATTTATCAAATAATTAACTATATTTACAAGTTTATTATTATTTAGTATTTTTGTTATCTTGAGCTTAATCACTCCTATCCACCTTAATCCCTACCCCCACCCCTAAGTTAATCCACCTTAATCCCCACCCCCTAAGAAAGTGATGTTCAACTTATATTCGGTTTTTTGAGAAACATAGTCGGCTAGTCGGGTATTTGATGCATTACAGTCGTGTAACTTTTAGTTTTGAGGACCTTTTTTTTTTTTCCTTTTTTTTGTGTAAGAGTCAGTTGGTACATTTTAAGGACTCACCCCCTTCCTCCTCTATTTTATTCGTAGAATTGCTTTTGAAATAAGAAGTTTTTTTTTTTTTTTAATATTTTCTTACTTCAAAAGTTTCGCCTCAATAAAAGTTTTGCCTCGATAAACTCAAATAAAAAGTAAAAATAAGCAATAATTTTTTTAAGATTTTTTTTTTTTTATTTCTCAAAAAATACTAAATAAAGCTTTGACTATGCACGTAATCCGATCACGTCTCAAACATCTACACCTAATTAAATCGCGTCTTAAATATATATCCAAGAAACGTATTTTATACATTTAAGATGCATTCTTTAGATGTATATTCAACATCTTTTATGCTTCTAAAGAAATGCATCTTTAGTACGTCTTTAACAACGCATTAAGTTTCAATCAAAGCACACTTTTAAGACATCATTATTAAAGACATACAAGCCTCTTTAACAATCATATATTATATGAATCTAGACATCTTTTAAACCAATTTGTAGATGTACTTAAGATGATTTAAAATATATTTTTGCTTGCTAAGATGCGTAATGTCACGAACAATGTAGATGGTTATGAAAAGCTAATTTTATCGTAAGAAGTCTCATTATTGTAAGAGACATGTAAAATCTAGAATAAAGTTTTACTGTAAATATTTTATCCGCATGGTCAAATAAAGGTGAGTTTCCACTCATCCCTTTTTCTATGGGAACGGGATAGGAAAGGGAAAAATAATCACGTGAGCATGCGTAGTTTTACTTCGGACAAATTATCACTTATGATACGCATGTTCACGTGATTATTTTTCCCTTCTCTTTCCCGTTCCCGTGAAAAAACGGATGAGTGGAAACTCACCTTAAGAAATGACGCATTCACATCAAACTAACACATGAATCTTTTTTCGTGAAGCAAACACATGAAATTTTTTTAATATTTTTCAAAGAATGACGTATAGGTATAACGAGATGCGTGACTCGCAGCTTTTTGCGTATAACTTAGTGAAGCCAGCGTCCGCCATTTTGCGGTACGGCAAAAACATCAGAGGCGACTATAAAAATATAGAGAATTATTTATCAAAATAATAATTAGTCATGAAATTTTGATTAATTTTTTTATTATTTTGATAAAATTTCATTTGATTAATTAAGAATCTATTGAGAATTAATTTTTACTATATTTTCAATATATACATGAAATGTGAGCAGCCGTGGCGCAGTGGTAGCGCGCTTACCTCAGAAACAAAAGATCCGTTGTTCAAACCCCACCTCTGGACAAGTTTTGCGATATCGGTTGAGAAGGAGGCGCGAACTTCTGATTAAATGCTCATCCGCGGTGCTCTGTGATAAGACCGTAACCCAGGAAGCACAGAACGTTTTTAAAACGTTTAAAAAACCTATTAAAACGGTTTTTAACGTTTTTTATAAACGATCTGTGCTTACTGGGAAGGTCTTCTTGGGGCACCTAAATAAAGCAATACATATATATATATATATATATATATATATATATATATATATATATATATATATATATATATATATATATATATATATATATATATATATATATATATATATATATATATATATATATATATATATATATATATTTTGTTTGTTCTTTTATTACATGTAAAATAAGCATTTCGTTACAATATTTCAAATACAAATATATAATAATAAATTTATATATAAATATAATGGTCGTTATTAGAAAATAAAAGAACGCGGGGACTCGACCATACTCGACCATACAGACCATACGGTCTTGTCGTCGAGTACCGCTAAGAAATGTTCGTGTTAAAATTTAAAAGATAATTACAAGGTTAAAAAATAAAAATAAGTTAACAAAAGTAAGAAACTTAAAATAATCCATAATTAATACAAGATGCGTTTTATCTATTATATATGTAAATTATAGTTGTTAAGGATACACATATACTTTTTATAAGTTCATGTTTAAATAAATGGTAAAAATAAAGATCACAAAAAATATCAGAAGTATATTGTTAAATCATCGATTGCAAAAATGAGTTCTTTAAGCTTTTGTTTAAAAGAAAAGTAGTTACTTTGATTAATAAAATCCTCAGTAAAATTTTTTAAAACTATTTTATTTCATAAGAATGGTCCGCGATAATCAATACAAAATTTAAAAAGATTTGTTTGAAAATTGGGCTGCTTGATAAAATTATTATTGCGTAAAATGTATTTATTTTTATCTTTTGATGAATACAAATTATGGAAAGAAATCGGGGATGAATTGGTTTTACATTTAAACATAAAACAAAGAATATTAAAAATATTAATCT